AGAAGTGAGGTGCTTGGGTGAAAGAGTAGTTGTTGCTCTGTCGGAAGCTGGGACATGGAAAGGAATGGAGCAAAGAGGTGGAAAGAAAAATGGAGAGATTCTGATGCATGTTAATCATTTTATTTTCAGTTAAAGGCTGGAGAGGAGAGCAGACAAGTAAATGTAGGGGACACCGTAGGAAAATGGAGTGGGTGGGCTAAATAAACCGAAAGACAAAAAGGTCAGGAGAGAGAGGGGTAAAATGGGAGAGAACAGGATAGAAAAGTCAAAGAGGCTGAGTGGGGTGCTGTCTAGTGTTGATGTTGCTTTTGCCAGCTGAGTGGCTTTTTCCAATATTTCTATAATACATTACTTGCATTTAAAAGGGGTTGTTCTTAGTGGTGAACCTGCAGCAAATTTACCTGAGATGACAGTTCTCACTTCCACACAGCTTACAGTGTAGTGTCTTTTAGGTTACTGTTTTGGTTTTATAGCCCTCAACTTTACACTTCTGGGTCAGTCTCATGGCTCTCATCATCATTTTTGGCTGCAGGAGGCAGCTGTTTTCAGCTTTAAAATTCTAAAAACCCAAGAGCAAGGGCAGCACGGTGGTGCAGTGGTTAGCGCGGTTGCCTCACAGCGAGAAGGTTCCGGGTTCGGGCCCCACCTGGGACCTTTCTGTGTGGAGTTTGCATGTTCTCCCCGTGCTTGCGTGGGTTCTCTCCGGGTACTTCGGCTTCCTCCCACTGACCAAAGACATGCAGCTTAGGTTGACTGGTGTCTCTAAATTGCCCATAGGAGTGCATGTGCGTGTGTATGGTTGTTCGTCTATGTGTTAGCCCTGCGATGGATTGGCGACCTGTCCAGGGTGTACCCCGATTTCCAGCCGGGATTGGCTCCGGTGACCCCGCAAGGGACTAAACGGTAGAAAATGAATGAAAACCCAAGATGCACTACCTTCCCAGCACCAAACAAGAGTCAGACAAAATTAGTAACCAGCTAGTTAACATAGCAGAGCACAAAGGGGGATATTTACTAAACCTGTCACAAATTTTCAGAAACTATTGCAGCACCGCAATTTTTATTTTGTGGCATATTTACCAACACTGTTGATGTAAATGAGCACATTTACCTGTGTTAATTTGAAGTCTGTTTCACATGTGTAGACCATGAGCAAGTGCAGAAGAAAGTTTAATTTTATGGTGACTGATCTCTAATATACGTAGTTGAAGAAATCAACAAACACATCTCAGAACAACAAACTCCTGCCAATGAAATTATTTGTTATATCAGTCAGCAATTGAAGCATTGTTTGGCCTGAAAGCCTGTAAAAGTCCATCACATGATAAAAAGACAGACAATTCCCCTAGCATATGACAGTGTCCAAAACAATGCTACTAAGAGGGTGAACATTGGTCTTAATTTCATCAGGTGCCCAGAAACACGACTCAGACTGAAGTCTATCGTTGCTCTGTGCCTGTTGGACGTATAAACACACAGCTGTTTGTTACTGTAACACATCTTCCATATGAATTTAACGTGATAATACAGGGTAGGCCACGGAAAAGTAACCCAAGCAAGTGGATTGTTTTGGAGGCGGGCTACTTTTCCGTGGCCCACCCTGTATATCAGTGTTGTGTTCACAGGTCATTTCTGCTGCTACCCTAAAAACAGTTACTGTCCATACTATAGAAGGAGTGGTGAGGGAGTGGGGATGATAATATTTACACACATCCTTGGCTTAAAAAATTGTTCTGCTGATTTTCAGATTAGACACAAACAGATACACGCAGAGTGTTTTGGAGAAAATCCAGGCTGCCTTGGGACTACAGCAGACCAGCGGGCAATGATAGCTGCTGTGCATTCATGAGAGCAAAGCAATTTGTCTTCTAAAGAGTTTAATTTTCCAATGAAGTATACCATATTGATGCTGGGTCTCGGTCTGTCTGACTGCCAGGTGTCCTCTCTCTTTCTCTTTCGCTCTGTCAGCTGGGGATCGAGATGTCTACTTTAATGCCCGTCATTTACGAACTGCTTGGAAGTAGCCATGGAATAGCCTTGGCAAGGGCTGATAGCAATGGATAAAAGGACTGCCATTCACACAGAGGAAGGTGAAAAAGAAGAAAAAAATAAAAGAGCCTGATCATGGGCACCATAAATAAAGGGAAATAGCGAATGAAAACGAGTTAGAGGGCATGGGGGTGGAAGGCAGTTAGAGAAATGGGAATCAGTGACAGAATGATCAAGTCAAGGAGGAAAATGGGAGCTGTACCGTATCTGCTGAGGCTCTTGGTGAAGGTGGAGGAGTTGGAGATGTTATAGGCAGAGTTCTGCTTTGGCACCAGGGCTATCACTGAACCATCTGTTACCTGCACATCAAAAAAAAAAAAAAAAAACACACACACACACAACACAATACTCACTGTATGAAACTATCTTAACAGTCAAGTCTTGCTTGTGTCTATCACTTCATCCAAGCACCTCTTTTGTGCTTGTGTTACCTGATAGTGAGCCAGCGTGTTGAGTCTTTTCCAGTCATTGTCAATCTTAGTTGTGACATCTTCATCTTGCAGAATGATTCTGGCCATCCGACCTTGACGCCATTCTTTGAAAAGATGGAACAAATATGAGGACCAACCAAATACTCTGAGCATTTATGTGTGTCTCTTTGGTGCTGAGATGGTCAGATGTTGTTTTGTTTCCACTGCTGTTCTGCTGTTCTTATACAGTTGTTGCCATGGGCATCTTCATTCTAACAGTCCACATGAAAGATTGGTCAACACGGCCCCTTTGCCCAGTGACATCATGCTCTATTGCAGAAAAAGTTGAACCAGGTCAACGTCCAGAGCAGTAATATATACTGTGGTGATCCAAGTATCTGAGGCAAATCCACTGGTGTTTCTCAAGTCTCTTATATGATTGTTCCTATGTCCTTGGTCAACTGGAACGACTTCTGGGTCGACCTGGGACTGACGATGTTCCCAGTCTTATATCAGCTCTGAGGAAAGAGGAGCAAGGAGGCTGCTGGAGGAGCTGCATGACCGAGGATACACTAGACCATCCTTTGTGGAAGTTTTTATGAACTGACACGTCCCTTTACCAGAAATCAGTTGGCGATTGGACACCCCAGATGAACGATCAGAGGAAAGGAGGTCTCGTGTTGTTAATAATGTGTTTCCTCGAGTTCTTTCCACTCACATGTTTGCCTTTCATTTTTTCCTTGCATCTTTCATGGGTGGGACTAAGACGTGAGTGAGAGAAACCATGGCCCTTATAAGAGACTTGAGAAACACTCTATATCCCCCTTTCACTTAGACACACCTTGCCAGTCTCCATTAGCTCTGCTGCATCCACTAACATTAGCTAGCAGTTCAGACAAGAGTAACCCTGGCCCACCATCTTGGCCATCTGGAATTAAATGTATTGTTAAATATCTAAAAGGGGCTGTTGAGCTAAAGTGTGTGCTGAGCTTTCATGGCCACAGCAATTATACCTGTGCACATTCAGCTGGAATGTGCATGCATGTAGAGAACTTTACAGCATGTCTTACCCAGGTCCATATCAGAAGCCTTTGGCCTTTGCGAATAAGGGCTGCCCTTGTACACAGCATCGAGCAGCTTCTCTTTGACCTGAGTGATGGTGTCGCAGTTCAGACACTTCACAGTCACCTCAGCATTGTTGTCATTCTCTGGGTTTACACAGTGCAACGTCTGGCAGAAAAGAAGTAAGAACAAAGGGAAATGGAAACAGACAAACATAACGAAGTATAACACAGAATGTTGCCAACTAGTGAGATGCTTAGAAAATTGTTTCGGTGCATTTGAAAGTACCTGACAGCGTTTTCACAGTTTGTTTGCACAAGGTATTCTAAAACCTGGATGTTTTCCTAGTCAGTTCAGACTGTTTGGGTATATAATAACTCAGGATTCACACTCGGGTGCAAACCAAAACTACTGTAACAGATCCTGCTGACAAGTGTGTTTGTATATGTCTGTGAGCCAAACCTGAAGTGCTTTGTTTGGAGAGACAATGTGATTAACGCCCGGCAGTAGTTGTGCCAGGTCACAGCCAGATCACATTCTCACATCAAATCCAACTGATGCTGAAGCTCCATGTGTACCCTGGCAGAAATCCTTTGCCATGGCAGACCCCAGATCAATTTAGGAAAAGGAGGGTCCCTCATTTCTACTACTGATTACTTACAGTTTACTTCAAAATTTCATCACTGTCAAATGTGACTAAAGCTTAATGACTCGTGCAGTGATTTAGACCAAAGTGGACAGGCACAAGCCTCAAGGCACAGTGAGTTTACTGACCAGTGTTTTGTAGTCAATCTGTTGCCTGATGAGCTTGTCTTCACTGAGGGAGTAGCGGGCTTCTCCTGTGATGGCGTCTATGGGTCCCTTCTCCATCTGTTGCTTGATGGCACAGTAAAGCATGAAGAGAGGCTCGCCTGCACACTCCTAGAGAGGGACAAGACAGAAAGAGAGGAGTTGCCAGCAGTTCAACCAAAGAGTGATTCTTCTTTTCCTAGATTTCAGTAATTGCTGGAGGCATGAAGAGGGAAAACTGTCCAGCACAACAGAAAACAGAGATAAGAAAAAATCCTGAAAAGAATTGGTTTTCTTTCCAATCATGTGACTGTAGTTGAAAAAAATATAGTAAATGTGTTAAAGTACAGTATTTTAATAATAACACAGTGATCCAACCTCATTAAATTTACAAACACTCAAGGATATTCTCACAAATAACCATCAGAGGTGTGTTAGTGAAGTTTTTTTAATTTAAGGTGTTATTTACAAAGATTTCAGATGTAAATGAGCCCAGTCATAGTCCACTTGATTAACAAAGTGTAATAATGGGCTGCTTGGTGCCAGTTGTGCATGTGAAGGTCATGGTGAAAAAGAGTTTTCTGCTGCACTTTTGCTGCTCCAACTTTATGTATTCATTTGTGTGAAAAATAACAGTTTGCTGTGTAGACTGGATTTCTCTCTCTCTCTGTCCATCTGTCTCACTTCCTGTTTTAACCCCCTATGTATGGTAAACCTCAGTGCATGTCCAGCTAATAAAACACTCTACACCTCTGCCTGGTGTAAAATCCTAACATTTTAACATTTTCATGAAATTGTGTCTCCAAATGTGAAGGACACTGTAGTGTTATGTAAACATCTCCTTCTTTCTTTCACTGTCTAGAGGACTGAGACTCTGAAAGCAGCAGTCCTGTCCCATCATTTACACCCCTGTGAGTGTATGAGACCAGACACAGATGTTATAAATATGTTTCTCTCCTCCACTGAAGACACTTGCCAATCAATAATGTCATTACCATCACTTGGGCCCAAGGAAAACACAGTCTTCTAAAGTAGTGACAGTTTAGAGTGGAGAGTGAGGAGACATCACAGCCAGTACTCATCCTGATGAGAGTTTAATGATCGACTGTGCAGTGCTCAGGCAGATACTTCAGGTTGTGTGTGTGTGTTGGGAGATCCATGAGGTCCAGAAGAGAACAGGGGGAAAGTGCTAATTTATCTGCCTCACCTTCAAGCACATTCAACCACTCACTTGTTCTTTCCATCACACACACACACACACACACACACACACATTCAGTCATCATTTTGTTTCCCCCCTTTATTCTCCCTTAAGTAGCTTTAAAGGTACTCTGTGGAGGTTTTGACAATGCAAAGGTTCGTTAAACCTCAAGGATACACACAGTGTATTTTGGTGAGAAACACTGAGTGTAAACACAACTTGTGTTTGCTTACAAGAAAACTCACCAGGTTAGAGGTTAAGAAAATCAGCTAAATTAGCAGATTTTGTGAGGGGGATTCTGGACCCCCAGAGGGCAGATGAATATTTTTTAGATGTTCTTCTGGTCTGGTCTGCCTCTTCCCCTGTCTGCTTTAATTTCACTCCCCCTTTTTTTTTGGCTACTTGAATTTTCTTCTCCCCTCCTCCTTTCTCTCACCTCTGTTGACATCCCTTAGACTACCCTACCTTTCCCCTTTAACTCCAAGCTCCTTCTCCCTCTCCTGCTTCACACCTGTCCTCTTCTAAACTCCTAATTGTCATGTTCCTCTCTCTTTTCCTGGACTCTCCCTACTACCTCAAACACCCATCTCTAACTCCTTCCTTTCCTCCCTCCTGCGTCGTAGCTACCTTCTTTATTCCACCACTGTACATTTTACAAACCTCATTAGCATATGGACCAATTAGGTGGGCAGCTGCTAACGAGACAGCGCAAGCATGCATCACACTGTTATGCTTTCACTCTGGCTTTCTGCCTTCCGCCTTCGCTACATGCTTGTCCATGAAATTTGCCTTTACTCTGCATACCAGCTTCATTAGGGCTCCCTAATTGTATGCTGACATTTATATTTTAAGCATATAATGATGGCTGTTGCTGTAAAAAAGAGACATAGACTTGGATTCCCACACTGCTAACAAGCAGTGGAAATGAAAAGTCAAATTTTGTGTATTTATTATTTTCAGGGTGAATAAATAGAAAGGTCAAATGAATTTAAATAACTTTTTTAGGTGTTAATGCATTTTGAACACATGATATGTGTGGGTTCTAGAGTGTGGAGAGGAGAAGGGAAACCACTGAGAATAGAAAGAGAAACTTCAGAAACCATTTTCTGATTGGGCTCACTTTCCTTAAGCAGGCTCTGTAAAAGTCAGGACATAGGACAAGGGGACGAAGGATGAAGGAAAAGAGAAGGCACATGAAGACAGCATGAGCAACACTGCACCCCCCTGGTGAGGCAAACGACCTTAAGGCAGAAAGAAGACTGACAGCCGAATAATGACATCAGAAATGACACAGATGGAAGAGAGATCAGAGGAAGAGAATGACATCGAGAACAGTGAAGAGGAGGTGTCAGCTACAAGAGTGAAGCTATGAGAGTTGAAAGGATCTGTGGACAAAAAAAAAAAAAAAAAAAAGGCATTAAAACAACAGCGAAGAGAAGAAATGCACGCTGCTGGGAACTTTGATGATCTACTCTATGTGCGCTGCAGTGGTAAGGCAAGAAATTATGCAGCCGAAACAGGAAAATCCTTTTAATAACCACACTGAGATAAATGCATTGGAGAAATAATATAAGCCGGGGGCATTTAATAAAACTCACAAGCAGTGTAAACGCATTTATGCACATTGCACAATATCAGCCCACTTCAGATCACAGCATTTAAAAGGTAAGCAAACAGGCCGAATAAAGATACCATATCCTATCATACCTTGCTGCCGGGCTTACCTTGAGAAATTTATACAAGAGGAATGTAAACCAGTTGGTCAGCATCTTCTCAGCGACAGACTCCGTTCTGACACACAGAGGAAAGGAGGAGGGAAAAACACATTTTAAAAGAAAATCTACAATTTGTGAGTAACATGATTACAAAAACATAAACAATTTACTTGGATGACAGAGTTTTTGAGTCTTTAATTTTCTAGAAAATGCCAAGAAAGATTTTTGGAATGATCTACACAATCTGGTATTGATTACAAGACAATGGAGACAAAGTTTGGCTGGCATTTAGTTACATGTAGTTGTGCTAGGTTGGGGAAACGGTCGTTGATTTCCAGAAGAACATTCAGTTTCAAGAACATCTGATTTAAACCCTAGTAAAATTCATTATTCATTTATTATTAGGAATGTCATTATTTATACAATTAATGCTGAATTGTATGCTCGCCTGTGGACAACTTTCACATTTTAACATGTTTAGCTGTCTCACTAAAAGACTCTCTGGGTGAAATGAATTTGAATCAATTCATTGCAAACTTATATATCAAGACCCTCTGGGTGCTACTGTTCTTTCAGATATTCTACAGACTATAAGTGAGGGCAGACAGGAGTAAGCCAGATTTCCTCCTTTTAATTTGACGTCACACCTCAAATGAGCTCTGTCCAGATCTGTACAAAGATCTACAGTCTAGACCATAAGTATCAGTTACACAGTTTTTGATCTTCAGGCTCTGTGCTTCATCACATTTGATTTGAAATAAAATAAAGGACCCTGCATTAAAGTGTCAAGTTTCAGCTTTAAATTGAGTGGGATTACATCATATAGAAAGAGCTGCTGGGCAAACACAAAGGCAATTCAAAGCACTTTAAACAGGCAGTTAAGTATAGTCCTTTTAACACATGGGGCCCAAATTGCAAGGGTTCAAAGGTAATTTGACCCTTGGCTACTAAATATTTCTTGCACAGCCATGTGTTGTTTCAAAATTAGTTCATACACAAAAGAGCTCACGTTCAGAGCTAACTGAAAGTTTCCATTTAGACTGAAGCGGAGTAGTCTGTCAATATGAGGAGTAAAGAGGTGACTAGAAAAAATAAAAATGAGGAATAAAAGGGCACAAAGATCTCTCAGAGAGATACCCAGAAGCTGTGTATACTCCAAAAAAGGCAGGTGTGTGCAGGGAAACACCCTGGCGGATCAAGGTGCACAAGTCTTGTAGATGACTGAAAAATAATTTGCATGGTGAAGAAAAACCCATCAAGATGTGCATGTTGCCTTGTTCATCATGCACCACAAGAAGCAAAGTTCCATGAACTAATGACACAAAAATCAACCTATGAAAGTGATGGAAAGAGGAAAGTGTGGCGAGAATAAAAGGAACAGCTTATAACCAAAGCACCACCACATTTGCATGGCCAGGTTCTGGTGTGGCTCGTTCTTATGCGGCTGCCAGTGGCTGTTTTCTCCAGTATAAACAAAAAAAGAGTATCAACGCAATTAGAGTTTTCACCCTCAAACAATGCATGCTGTGAAGTCTTTCCTTTAAAAGTCTGAGTGAACACGCAGTAGTACATTCATTCAGTCCAAGTTAGAACAAATAATTTTTTATAAGATGTAAAATAGGTTTGAAAATGAGCTTGAGTTCCCTTTGTCTCCGCATGCTCCTCACCTCCTGAGCAACAGTTTGGGATGGTTTTTACTCTCCAGATTTCTGTCTATCAGGTCAGACAGCAGCTGCTTCAGGACTCCGGTGGCGTACTCCATCTCCCCCTGCAGGGATGTCATAATCAAAGATGCCACGTTGCCTCTATCCCGCATCGAAAATGACCTGGAAATACATTTAAGCCCGTTATTAAAATGTAATTTAAATATTTCACAAAAGCTACCGCCAGCTTGTGTTGCATCATATCTAAAGATGTTCTTAAAAACACATGGGCAGCCTTAAGCTCATAGTTCATTTAGCTAATAATGAATTACACTTAATTACATGGTGGTATAACTCTGTTTCGCTATAAACCATTTTTAGCAGAGTCCTCCAGGAGAATTTTAGAGGTGCTAAAAATGCCTTTACTCTAGTTATAAATATATCTTTTTTGTTCTAATCTAAAGCAAAGTTCATGTTATATTTGTGAAGGTAAACAGGTGATAGAGGGACATATTCAGAAAGATAAATATAACTTTGTTCTTTTGTTCCTAAAACCTATTCCCCATTATTTAAAAATGTACTTTTAATTGCCAAAAAGCATGAAGCATACTGTATGTTGCACTGACTGGAACACACAGCTGGAGCTTTGACAGCTTTGAATAGTTATGAGCCAGAACTAAACAAGCAGCCTCTCAACTGACTTTCCTGCACTTACTGGATCCTATTGCCAGAGCTGGAAATATTCTCTTAAAGCTCTTTAATGATAAGTAAGTTACTAAGTTATGTTTCTAAAATGGCATTGTTTTATTCCAACTGTAAAAATTCCATTTGGGTTGAAAATTCATACTAATCATAAAATACACAAAGGTTCAGACACACAATTCCATTGGACTGAATGGGAAAGTGCATCCAAACATTTGACTGAAAATATGAACAATAAATCAGGACAGAGACCTCTGTGCCTCCAGGGTTCGTATGAACGTCAGCAGTAAGTGCTTTTTCGTCAGTAGTTGGCCAAACAGTGTCAGTGCCTTCTCAACATTTGCCTGCACCTAAAGAAAGACACAGATAAGTTACAAGAGAGACTGATGGGAGTCTAGTGCAGTTTCTTGTCAGTTTCTTGAATTCTTTCTCAAAGAACAACAGGTGTCTTTAAATTCATCCCTCCTTTCAAAAATGTATTTTGCTTATTGTCACTTGAATGTCTGAGCTTCACTGTGCAGAATGATGAAAGTGCAGATTTAAACAGAAGCTTGTTCACACATTCACCTACTGAAGGACAAACGTTCCTCTGTGCTCACCTTAAGTTAGTGTTAAAGTCGTGTCAATATAAGCGGAACCTTGTGACATCACAAGTAGCCTCGAAACCGATAGCCAAATATTCAAATTACACAAGCCTGATGTACAAACTCAAAAAAAAAAGCCATTACTCTTTCAGTTTGAATAGTCATGGACACCCATGAGAAACCTCTGTGTGCACCATTAATTCCCAGATACTGAAAATAACATGCAGGATGAAGCAAATAATAAAACTGTGACTTGCTTTATGTTTAAAGACATTCTGAACTCATCTGCAAACAGACACTTTTTTCCACTGTATGATGAGCTCAAATTGGCTTGTAAACAGCAAGGTAGGCCTGATTGGCTACTCTCTCTCTCTCTCTCTCCTGCTGCAAGTGTTTGCCTGCTGATGCTCTCCAAATGATAAATGATGGTAGCAGACAATGTGACATAACTGTCTTCTTGACATCAGGGGGTAGATGGCTCAGAGCATCCTCTAGCTGGACGAAAACCGCATTGTGGGCTACCCTTTGTCACCGGTTCTGTTCATTATTTTTATGGACAAAATTTCTAGGCGCAGCCAGGGGCCGGAGGGAGTCCGGTCTGTAAGGCGAAGCTCTCGATTTACTGGTCAGTCTACGTTCCGACTCTCACCTATGGTCATGAACTTTCGGTCATGACCGAAAGGGCAAGATCCCGGATACAGGCGGCTGAAATGAGCTTTCTCCGCAGGGCGGCCGGGCGCACCCTTAGAAATAGGGTGAGGAGCTCGG